CACCATGTTAATTTATCATTTAATATTATAGATCTGTTTCCATCTGTTCTGGAATCTTCCCCATCAGAACAGATTTTATTGTACAAATTTTGCTTAAGAAGAAAGCTTATAACTCAATTCTCTTCAAAGCTAAATTCAAGTAATCCTGCTGTCTGCACTATTCTTGTAAATATAAGAGCTTGCTTCTAGAGCTCTGGTAAGTGGAACCATTCCAGGCTACTACATTGCTTCCAAGATGCAATCATAATAGAGTCCTGAATCTGGCACTTCTCCAAGTAAATGAAAACAAGGTTCTACTGTTTAAAGACAAATACTGGAGAGCATTCTATCTTTGAAAGGGAAGGAAGCTCAATGGAAAAGAAAACCATCCTCAACCCCAGATGTGAGTTACAGTAAAACATAAATCAAGCATATATATTGAAATTCTATTTTGTACAAGATAGAATGCTTTCTGTGGCCTTGGACAGTATTAACATTAAGAAAACAGGACATGGGTTAACATTTTGCAAGAGGAAATGCTCTGCTTAATAGACAAAGGAAAGGAAGTCTAAGTGTACATACACCCACTAATAATTGGAAATGTATGTGCTGAGCAATAATACTACCTAGTTAAGCAATGATTAAGTAAATAATGTTCATAGTAATTGCTGAAACAGAATGTTAGGATATAGTTAAGAACAGTATGTTAGTTTTAGACACGGATCCTTCTGCAGTTATTGCAATAGCTGACAACAATCTTTAAGAAAATATGTTTCACTAATTACAGTTCAGAACAGCTATAAGACTGTGCAGCATTTTGAATTTTAAGGCAAAAATTACTTTGGGCCATGCAAAGATGCATTAACAGCTAAACTATTGTGTGGCTCATAAGCCTTCCCCATTAATTTCTTATTTTTTTAAGTGTAATGATATTGACCTTTGATAAAGTTGCATTTCTGATTAGAATTTTATGTCTGTTCCACTTTAAAGAGCAACACCACAAGATTTTCATCATACACAGGATTCTGTATGAATCACTGAAGTAGCTGAACTTTTTCCAAGGTTCTGAAGCAGCTTCAAAAGCTGCATGCTTACTTTCATTGAAGCACTTTTTCCAAATCATTTGCAAAGCCGTACCAAAAAGTGAACTATGACTTAATATGTTATGGTGGACGTCAAGGATTTTGAGGGAATTTCTTAAATAGGCTGGTTCACTCTGAGCTAGAAGGAAATTTTCTTTTTTCTCTCATACCCTTAGAGCATCTCTATGTCTGAAAATTCATATGACTTACAGTTTATATCATGGAAATTGTGCAAAAAGAACTATTTTTCTTTTTTTCAACTTATAGATTCATATGGTAATTTGGCGCAATATTCATATGAAAACCTGCTTACATCTCAGAATTTCATATAGAATATTAAACAGCTGCCCAATTGCCTTAAGAAATTTCTAAAAAGATAAAAAGTTTTTTTAAAGACTGAGATAGCATACAACAGGGAATGGTCACTTCCTGAAGGTTCAATCTATAAACTTCCGAATGAATGGAATGAATGAATGGATGGATGGATGGATGGATGGATGGATGGATGGATGGATGGATGGATGGATGGATGGATGAATGGATGGATGGATGGATGGATGGATGGATGGATGAATACGCCAGAAATTAATGTCCCACAAGACAACAGTACAGAACAAAATTAATGTTGAAGTAAGAAAGATAAACTTTTGGAACTGCCCGACTTGAATATCAAACATGCATTGCATGCAAGGAAACCTAATAAACATTCTGAGCTAGAAAAGTTCAGCAAGGAAAACTGGGGAAAAAATTAAAAAGCAAGAGAAAAGACTAACTGGCCACAGAACATATTTAGAAGCTACAATTTCTTCCAAAGGAAATGTTACAAAGTGCTGACTGAAAGGGTGTCTAAACTTTGGGCACCTGCCGTTTTCACTGCTTTCTTATTCTAAACCTGTAAACAAGTTCTTACTACATAAGTAGTTGTGCAGAAATGTGCAGAAAAATGTTTTTAACTTTGTACCATGTTGAGGTTGTATTAGCTTTTGTTTCCCTGAAACATACAATTTGACCCAGGTGCCTGAACTTTTGCATAGAACTGCATGAATAGTAAGTAATTTGGAAATGCAAGTATATTAACATTAACATTACTAATTAACTGTACATGCTCTCTAGAAATGATGACTTTTATTGATACAAGAATATTCTATATAATATCTCCTAAATTTGGTCAACATCCTTCATGCTGTCTGGAAAAATCTATAAATAGGCTTAGTAAGCTACTTCTAACATAATGTGGGAGACCATAAATTAATTATATCTGAAAGTCCCAATTTACATTGAGTATTCATATTCACATACTTTCCCTTATACACATGCATAAGGGAAGACTTTGAGAGACTTCTACTGTGTCTCTATCATATAATCCCTAAAATACAGGAAAACATTATTTTATGAATATCATGAATTACTACTATTCTGTGAACGATGTCACTTTTCAAACCAGTAAAGACTTAAGTGTCAACCCAGCACGATACAGTTTTCAATTATCAGAAAAACGTAACTTCAATCAAAAGGAAATTATTCTGATTTCAGTAATCTTGATGCCATGTTTGGTAAATTGTGAAGCATATTATTCTATGTAGAATGAATTATATGCGGTGATGCATCCATCCTGGCCCATTTTGATATCTCAGCAGTTTTTGATACCATTGATCATGGTATCCTTTTGGACTGGCTTAGAAGGCAGGAGTGGTGAGCACAATGTTGCAGTAGTTCTTCTCCTTCCTCTGAGATTGGTTCCAGTTATTGGTGGTGGTGCTGTGAGAGATCAGGCCCGAGGCCCCTGCTTTGCATGATTCTGCAGGGCTCTACTCTCTCCCCACTGTTATTTAACACCTGTATGAAACCACCATTGGTATACTGATGATATTCATCTGTACATTGACCAACTGATGTTGTCAAGGTTCTTTATTGGTGTCTGTAAGCTGTGGGGGTCTGGATGGAGAGGAACAGGCTGCAACTTAACCCTAGTAAGACCGAGTGAATATGGGTTTTAAAAAAGTACTTTCCTTTTTTAGTTCTGGACGGAGTGACACTTCCCCAGTCAGCATTGCTATGCAATTGAGGGGATCCTTCTAGACTCTTGGGTTCTGTGAAGCAGGTGGCAATTGTGGCCAGGATAAATTTTGTATAAATTTATCTTGTACACAACTGCAACTCTTCCTGGAGGGGGAGGCTCTTCTTATGCTTATTCACACCTTAGTCATCTCATTTTGGGCTACTGCAACACACTCTACAAGGGCTGCCCTGAAAGACAATTCAGAAGCCGCAACTGGTTCAAAATGCATGCATTAACATGGGAAGTTATGGGCGTGCCTTGGTACTCCCAGGGTACACCACTACTTTGCAAGCTGTACTGGCTCCCGTAGGCTTCAGGGTACAATTCAAGTTGCTGGTTGTTACTTTGAAATCCCTTAATGGAATACAGCTGTGTTATTTGTGGGGCTGCTGATCTCCTATAAATTCCACTTGCCTCATGCCTACGTTGCTCCTGGTCCCTTCTATTAAGCAATGCCAACTGCTGGGACCCAGGAAGTTGCTTTTTCTATTACATCAATGCCTTATAGAACAGCTTAACCCCCAGAATCCAGATGGCCCCAACTCTGTTGGTCTTTCCAAAGGGACTGACAATATGGATGTTCCTGTGGGCATTGGGCCAGGGCACTGAGCAAGTCTGATTTTTTTTTTTTTTTTTTGAAGAGATGTTTTATGGAGGGGAATGTTGGTCCTCATTTGTTATTTGTCTTGGTTACTGGTATTTATTATTTGCGTTGTTTAAAAATAGATGTTTTTATTGTGATTTTAAAATTTGTTTTAAGCCACTTAGAGCCATTTTGAATTGGGCAGCCATATAAATTGAATAAATAAATAAAGTGTTACTTCAGTTTGTAAGCAGGTACAGAAAACTCAGAAGAGGCCAAGGGGCTGGAAAAGATCCATTTATATTCCAATACCAAAAAGAATCGTCAAACTACCAATATTTTATTGATAGGGTCTTGATAGGGATCTTGTTTTCTTTTTCTTTTTTCTTTTTATTTTAGCTGCCTGGAGGCACTGTGCAGTTGGGTGGGTTCGAAACTGAAATAAGAAATTGAATAGATAAAATAAATTTGCACTTTCATAAGGAGCAGGCATCCAATATCACATGGCTAACTTCTGATGGATAATGAAAGAGGCAAGGGAATTTCAGAAAGGTGTCTGAAATTTGGGATTCTGAATAGCCCTTAAGAACATGGGTGAATCAACCACCTCATCTGCCTACTAAAGAATGTGTATGATGGCCAGGAAGCAAGAGTTGGAATAGAACATAGAACTGTAGAAAATGACCAGAGGAAAAGTGCAACATTGTTCAGTGATGGGAAGGCCTCAATTCTCCAAACAAGCCCCCTCCCTTCTGCTATGTGCAGGGCATATCTTCTGTTAATGGATTATGGAGTTCTTTCTCACTGCTACCACTCATCTTCCTGGAGAAAGAAAATCTTTCAGGTTCTTCTTTTTTAACTCTAGCTTGTGAGCAAGCTGGGATCTCACAGCTTGAACAACTTACTTACTTGTAAACTAAGGAAAACAAGGACAAGGAGGAGGAGGGGGAGGAGGGAGGAATGGGAGGAAAAAGGAAAACCAACTCTGTAACTTCATCTCCTGACCTTAGTAGCTTTGAAACATGTGATCAGAGAACGAGAGATCAAAAAGAAAAAATCTTGTAATTTAAAAATCAGTTTTATAAAAATAAGAGAAAAAGAGGTAAAACTTTCTTTTGCTTGGATAGTTAATTGCCCAAACTTTTAGCATGGAATGGAATGAAGATTTAGCTTTGACAAAAATAAAAAAAATCCACAAGATTTCATTGATCTTGTTTAACTTTTATATATAGTAAATTCAGTATTTAAAGATTGCAAATAATTTTAACTTTGCATTATCAGTATTTATTTTTCTTACCTGTTTCCCATCCAATGTGCAAATTCTCTTGACGACTCCTGAATCTAACTTAATCGCTTCTGTTATATCAGTCAACACTTGGTCAAAGGAATGAGCAGTTTTTTTATTCAGCAAAATTCTCACAGCTTTCCGTGGCTTCACTCCACTCCGTATAACAGTTACCAATTTAGGTTTAATGAAGTCTTTGCTCTCCTTTATTTCACTTTTTGCAGATGTTAAGGATGTGAGGGATCGAGATGACCCAGATTTTATGTTGACAGACCAATTTGGATTAACATTCTTAGTGTAATCAACTTTCCGAAATGGCTCATTGGAAGCGCATACATAACTTTCACCTAGAGAGGAGGAAAGAGAACAGGAAAGGAAGATGTTATTTCTTTGTTTTCACTTGATACGCTTTTGATAACCAATTATCTATGTATTTGTATATGTCATTGGAGTATTTGCAAATACTTAATTTTTGAAATAGTCCAAAGGTAAAGAAAAGTATTAATAAATTATGACATTGAAGGAAAGCCTGCTGAGTTAAGTTAGTGCCTATCAAGCCCAGCATTCTTTTTCTTAGAATAGCAAATATATATCTTTAGGAAGTTGACAAACAACATAGCATTAAGGAAAGAGATCTCACATTTTATCAATACCAGGCACTAATATTCAGTAACCTGCTGTCTTTGACCTTGGGCTAGTGTCCTCTGTACTATGAACCAGAATTTACACTACATTCATATTTTTACAAAACATGAATGTTATAGTTTTATGAATTTAGCAGGCACTGATGTTTAATATTCAAGAAATTATTTCATATTCATGATGATCCTTTTAATGTTTTCCATTTCAGTCCTACCAATTTCAGAAATCCACGTGCCCTCACAATAATGAATCTGGAAGAAACTTTGCTTATAAAAATGGACTGCAGAGAATATGGAGGTGCGTTTCTCCATTATGCCCCCTCCACTAGAACAACATACCCAAGAGAACAGATTGGACTCAACCCTGTTAGGATTCCAGATAACCATAAGAGCTGGCTCTTCCATAGGGCATACATGGCACCTGTGGAACACTGTACTGGTGTTCAGTTTTGTCTTATATGTTTTAAACTAATTATGTAGCTGAAATATAAGCCACTCACACTTGCCTATGAGTGGAATGGCATAAGCGCCTTTTTAAAACAAACAAACGACATTTACTTCATTCTTACTTGGTTTCAATAACCAGCACAGACCTATAAATCCTATATTATTAAGCTAGCATTAGTTAGGACTTTTGTCAAAGAGGAGGCATAATTAATTAGTAAACTACCTAGCAATGACAGCCAATCAAAATAATACAGGAACGCATTACAGTTCTTTCCAGTCAGTTCTTCCCATTTAGATCCCAGAAGAATCTAAATGATGAACTGGAATAGGTAGAATCTGTGCATAATGTAAGGATGCTACTGTAAGATACCTAGATAAATACATCAATATAAGGCAACAGTTCTTAAATTGTGTTTCATTATCCTGGGAGGGCAGCTACTTGGGAAAAGGTCACAAAAAATGAAACACTATCAAAATTCACTCTGGCTTGCCCTGTAAATGTCACTGATAGTGTCGCTTCTTCTAAACCCCATAAAGGGATCACAGCACTGCAAGTAAGCCATTGGGAAGGGCAACACAGCACTAATTTGGAGCCGGAGGAGAAGGTAAGTGACCTGGTCTATTACTCAACTGGAAACAACCATTGAGATGCCAGGATGGGATGTCCTCGCTTATCAGCCAGTGTGAAGGAAGGTCATATGTGATTCAAAAATTCACATTAAGGTACCTTGCAGGGAGAGCTGGCATTATGTAGACTGGGTGAGCAAGAAACCCAAACTGGTTTTTTGCCCATTCTGGTGTGAGTCACAGACGTAGCAGAAGTGCCATACAACGTTCAGCCTCCTCCCCAACTTGTAAGAAAAGAGTCCTTAAGAAGTCCCTTTAGTTTACAAATTAAAATGCTATGTTAATAAACAGAAGCATCCAAAATATTCTGTAAATTTACTAAACTTTTTTCTTCTAATATTTAACCATCTCACAGCATTATATTCAGTCAACAAGAGCAATACTACATGCTGTTTGGAAAATTATATGTACTTCCTCCAATTAAGCTGATAAAATTTTTCACTTCTTACTCAGGGCCCATCCAACCCTTCATTTGATCTTCATCTGACCAACATTAACACATGAGATTTCAAATTACATAGGTTTCTTATATACTCCCCCCAAAAAACAAAGAGAAACTGAGTGTAACTTTTCTTCCAGGAATATGAAGTACCCACACAGCAGCTTTTTATAAGAGAATTTATCCAGACTGAACAGTGTGCGTATGTAAGGTAAGCCTTTCAGTGGCCAGTGTGAGCATTCCTTCCCTTTGTTTTGTCCCCTGGGACCTTAAGGCAGCCTGAAGAGCCTTGCACCATGCCTTGTTTCCAATTATAAAAGGAAAGTGCTGAGAGCACCAGAGGGTGGGTGTGTAGGTATGTTTGGAGGAAGATTTGTGTTGTGTGGGAGAGCAGAGAGGAAGTGTCAGCTCAACAAGCAACTGATGGCAAAGGAGGAGCACACTTGGACTTCAGCAAACCAGCAGCAGACAAGCTGAAAGGAGGAGCAGAGCCCAGCAGCTTCTCCACCCCTGCAGCACCACTGAAGAGCTATGCCAGCCAGCAGCTGGTAAAGCATCTTCTTTTTCTCACCCTGGCACAGACTGAGCAACTGCCAAACCCATGCTTCAGCAGCAGTTTAGCACAGCAGCTGTCAGCAACAGAAGCCAACTTGAAGGTGGCTAAATGGTGACTAAAGATTTTGGTATAAGTTCGAGCAACAGAACTGTTATAGACTGTTTAGGAATAAGATATAGACATAGCTGTTAGTATAAGTATAGGATAATATAGCATAGGCTTAATAATAAATGGTAAGGTAGCAAGTAAGTTTGTTAAATTTGCTATAATAAAAGCCTCCCTGGAAACACAGGGAAGATAAAACAGTATGTTTGTTGTGGTCTGTACCATTTCCCAAAAGAACTCCCTCACATTTGGTGGCAGAGGTGGGATGGTACAGCCCCTGAGCAAACCCTACACGAGCCTTGAATGAAAAGGAAACCAGAACCTGTACCCAGGAAAAGGGAGTTTGGTCCTAGAAGGGCTAGAGCTCTACAAGAGATGACCAAGGTGCTCTCTCTAGACACATATCCACCAACTAGAGCTAGACTAGAGGAAGATAGATTGTGGAGAGAAACTGAACACAAGAACTGTATGGAAAGGGAGAGGAAAGGAGGAAGGAATTCCAGAAGATGACTGCTCTTTTGAGGGAAGCTCAAACTCCTCCAGTCCTCCCCTCCCCCCCACACTTCAACTTTGCCTAATGGAAAGGAAGGACTACAGATCTGAGGATCCTCCAACTTACAGAAGACAAGATATAGAATCATTCTTTGTAAAGTTTGAAGGTGACGCAGTTGCTTGAAAATGGCCTAAGGAAGAGTGGGTAATTTGGCTAGTTCCATATTTAACAGGAAAAGCTTTAAAAGCATAAACAGGGCTCCTTGCACAAGAAGTCTCTATAATCAAGTAAAGAGGCTGTATTGTATAGATATGAAGTAAAAAAATATACCTATTGACAAAGATTTAGGCAATATCTGACTCGCATGAAGGAGAGAATGATGAACAAGATTAGAAGATTTAGGAAGAAAGTGGTTAAAACCAGAAATACACGATAAGGAGAAAATATTGGATGAAATTGTTTTAGAACATTTTCTCCAATTTTGCTATCTCCTGTTAGTTTCTGAAAGTTGCATCCCTTGCAGAGGATTACTTAGCATCACAAAAGTCTGAAGAGGTCAGAAAAGGATAGAAATTGGAAAAGGACTAAGGAAACCTGGACTGGCAAAGTCAACGCTGATAGGTGATATGAAAGGTAGACAAAAGAAATGGCACAAGAAATCTTCCCTGATTAGGTATCAATAAGTTACTTATTGGAAGTATAAAATGCTGTACCTGTGTAAACAAGGGCATTTAGCTAAGGACCGTTACAATGAAATTCCAAAAGGACCTAGTACAGCAGCCCTTAAATCCTGTAGGACAAGAGATGACTGTGTTAGCAAAGGTAAATGGGAGACAAGTGATTGGCCTAATAGATACTGGGAGCAGGCAAACACTGGTACATTCCCATTTGGTTCCCAATGCTATTCAGCAAAGTGAAGAAAGTCTTACAAATCCATAGGACAGACACATAGAGTGCCCTTAGTGCAAGCTCAGATTTTAATAGAAGGGACTACTGTGAATCTTCTAGTAGGAAAAGTCCTAAGGCTTCTTTCTGATCTTCTTATAGGGACTGAGTTTCCTTCTTATTGGAAGTTAATAGAAAACTTCAGAGAACAGAAGTCCTCAGAAGTAGCTGGAGTCACAAGAACTCAGGCTGAACAGGCAAAACAGAAAGGGGAGTTAGAAAAGGAAGAGAGTTGGAATATGCTTCTAACACATTCAGCATTAGTTAGGGGGTCAGGGATATCCAAAGAAAGACAAATGTTTGTGTAAGTCTTATAAAAATAGAGGACATCCAATAGAGACTACCTGATAGTGAAACTTCCAGCAAAAGGCGCAGGCCCAGGCAACTACAGGCCAATTACCTGCTTATCAACAACTTTCAAATTGCTACTGGTGTTGTAGCTGATAAAGTCCAACAGCACCTAGTTGAAAAAAAAGCTCTTTCCATCTGAGCAGAAAGGAAATCACCCAAACAGTAGAAGGACAAAATATCAGCTCCTAACTGGCAAGATGATTTTGGAAAACTGTAAGAGAAGGAAGACCAACTTGAATGTAGCTTGGATTGATTACAAGAAGGCATTTGACTCCCTCCCACATGAATGGATAACCAACTGCCTAGAAATAACAGGAGTTCAGTAGAAACATCAGAAGCTTTGTGCAAAGATCAATATTACAATGGAAGACACAGTGGCTGGTCAATGGGAGAGATGAACATCAAGAGAGGAATCTTTCAGAGAAACTCACTTTCACCACTACTGTTTGTCATTGCATTGATTCCTCTGTCAACAACACTGAACATGTCAGGCCATGGCTATTAAACATCAAAAACATCTGCCAGGCTATCTAACCTCCTTTACATGGACAATCTGAAGCTATATGGAAAAAAACCATCTGAAATAAAATTGCTGCTCAACATTATCCAAATATACAGCCAAGATATTGCAATGGAGTTTGGACTGGATAAATGTTCCACCGTTACCATCAACAGGGAAAAATAGTGAAAACTGAAGGAATCAAGATGCCCAGTGAAATAACATCAAGAAGATCATGAAGAAG